TTTGTCTGCTTATAAAAATAAGCAGTTTGATTAAATGAAATACTTGGTACAAAGAAATTCAGATTATATTCAATTAAAGTAAATGAGAATTGCCTATTTCATCTTTTTTAACAGTATCTTTTATTTGAAATTATCACAACTTATGTTCGACAAAACAATTCATGATTTAGTGAATTAAATATGTTCATTATCACTATTGTTAATTCAACTTATACGAATTTGTTATCTTTATTACCACATGCTTGAAGTAAAAAACCAAAGTATTTCAGATAACAAACTGAAACTCAACTAAACGCATTTAGTTGAGTTAATAGTATTTTTTTCTCAGTGTAAAAACTGTCTCTAAAGGCGGGGTATATTTGTTCGGCAAAAATAATAATAATTGGTGTTCGTAGGATTGGACGCAAAGTCAAAAAAATTAAAAAGTAAGCTTAATCACTTAATAAGACCGAATAAGAAGTTCCAGTCGTAATCGATTGTTACTTTTAAATAAGCGCAATGGTCGTACGACCATTAACAATTGCGTCACGCTCTGTATTCCAAGGGTTAAAAAAAATTTTTCGATTTTTCTGAAAAAAGAATGACAGTTAAGATATTCACCGTTCAAGTAAAACTGGCTATCGGTGCTATAAAGATTAAATATGATGGGTTTGATGTTGTCGAAAGTCATCGTTTTCAGATTATTGTTTCTCAAATCTAAGAAGTTAACACCGGGTGCACCAACTAGAAAATCCGAGGTTAACGTCATCAATTGGTTTTCGCTCAGCAGCAATTTTCGAAGATTGCGCATACCGTCGAGCGCTCTTCCAGATATGTATTTAATTTGATTTTGATCAAGCTTGAGCTCGACTAGTTCTGGCATCTCGACGAAGCTACGTTCGTCAATTGTGGAGATTAAATTGTTGCTTAGATCAAGACGTAACAGATTGCTCAGACCATGGAAACTGTCACGTTTAACAACAACAATCTGATTGTCGCTCAATTCAAGTTCCCGTAGCGAATTTAAATATTTAAACGCTCTGTCGTGCACGTTACTGATGTTGTTACGATTAAGATGTAACGAGCGTAAGATCGGTAGATTTACAAATGTGTCTCTGTAAATAATCGTTTAGAATTGTTTGTTAGATTGTAAACATGAAGAAAATACTTTTTTTTATTCAATACAGTCTGTTTTATAAAAAAGTGTACGGCCCTAATTCGTAGCAAACGATTGTTTATTATCATTCTTAACGTTACTTTTTGTTAGAATGAAAATTTTCATAATGAATGCAAAGTATATCTCAACCACAGTTGTCGACAAGAGAGTCAAGTTATGACGCTCTCTACTATGTGCCAAAAAACTAATCGAAAGCATGCCAAAAAGATGCTAAACGATAATTAAGACAATTATGAAGACTGAATTCATTATGAAATAATTATATACGTATATATACCCGGTAAAAAATTTTTTATATATACTTATACACAAATTAAAATAATTATATCTAATTATGCAAATTTATATGCCGAATATGTCGATACAATTTTATACACGGAGAATTTCTTTTTTAAGAGAATGGCTTCAGAGATATTCCATATCAAATTACAAAATAACTCTATTAGTATCATGTTAGATATAAAAAATTATTTATAATTTTACTATATTTTTAAAAAAGTTTTGATATATAATTATATATACTTATACACAAATTAAAATTATTATATCTAATTATGCAAATTTATATATATATATACCGAATATGTCCATACAATTTTATACATAAAAAATTTTTGACCGGGTATATACAGGGGCCGCCACTTAAATCCGGACAAATTTGAATGTGACATTCCCATCATATTAGAATGCAGCAGTAGGTGCCATATGACCTAAAGATAGGTTAGAGACGTCGATAAGACATTAATAACCTTAAAATGGCCGAGTCGTTCAGGAAGACGCCGGAATATAATCGAAGAGCGGCGGTTATTGAAGGTGTCC